TGAAAATTATGAAATATGTGCTTGTACGTCCGTCACTGCTCATCACTGGCCTTCCCCTCAGTCTATTTCCCCAGTTTGCTTCAGGCAACTCTTTCTTCATACCCTCTGTAATTGTTTTTATTTAAGTTGAGAGCGTTAGTTTGAGACTGAAGTTTATAATGTCATCAAGTCATACAGCACGGAAACAGACCCTTCGGCCCAACCAGTCCATGCTGAACGTAATCCCAAGCTAAGCTAGTCCCACCTGCCTGCGCTTGGCTCATATCTCTTAGTAAAATAAAACAAAAAACTGAAGATTATAAACAGAAATTGCTGGAGGAACTCAGCAGATCTGGCAGCATTAGTGGAGAGAGAGTTAATTTTTCGGTATCGTGACCCTTCTTTAGAACATTTGGATTCAAAACATTAACTCCGATTTAAAGTGAGAGGAAAAAGACTTAAAAAAGAAATGAGGGCCAATTTTTGTTTTACACAGAGAGTGGTTTGTGTGTGGAAGAACTTCCAGAGGAAGTGGTGGATGTAGGTACAATTACAACGTTTAAAAGGCATTTGGATAAGGACATGAATAGGAAAGGTTTGGAAGCATATGGGCCAAGTGAAGGCAGGTGGGACTAGTTTAGTTTGGGATTATGTTCAGCATGGACTGGTTGGACCGAAGGGTCTGTTTGACTGTGTGACGCTCCACAGATACTGTCAGATCTGCTGAATTTGTCCAGCAATTTCTGTTCTGATTTCAGATCTCCCACTAATCCTACCTCATTACACATTACCAGATCTAAAATATCCTGTTCCCTGGTAGACTGTGCGAATTAACACTCTAAGAAACAACCCCTGATGAACTCTATAATTTTGTCATCCTTGTCCATCTGAATTGTCCAGTTAATGTGTTGACTAAAATCACCCAGGACAATTGTAATGCCCCTTTACACATCTCCATCATTTCCTGCTGTATACTTTGTCCTACAGTGAGGCAACTGTCTATAGACTTCCCATCCATGACTTCTTTCCCTTTTCCATCCCTATTTCCACCTGAATTGATTCCACATCATTACCCGATGTCGCCTATGTCACTACTCACCACCAAACAGATACCTGACTTTATTCTTCTTTCAACAAAACAGGCCTCAAGGGAACTATTTGGAGGCTGAATTAATCTGATAGCTCATCAACAGAGAGGCTGGCACAAAGGTGATGGACCGTATAGACTTCTGTTCAGTATATTTTTCCAATTCTCATAACAAAGGAATATGGAATTCACTGCCACAGGAGAAATTGTTGAGGGAAATACATTGAAAATATTCAAGAAAGATGCAGATATAGTTTCTTAGGACCAAAGAGATCAAACGATATGGGGAGTATTGAGTTCAACAAACAGTCATACAGCTGTATAGCATGGAAACCAACCCTACAACTCATCCATGCTGACCAGGCATCTGAAATAAATCTAGCTACATTTTTCAGCATTGGGCCCATATCCCTCTCACCCGTTCCTATTCATATGTCCATCTGGGTGCCTTTTAAATGTTGTGATTGTACCAGCCTCCACCACTTCCTCAAGCAGTTGATTCCTTGCACACACCACATTCTTGTCTGAAAAAGGTGTCCCTTAGGTCCCTTTTAAATCTTATCCCTCTCTCCTTAAACCTATGCCCTCTAGTTCTGGACTCCTCCACCCTGGGAAAAAGACTTGTGTATTTACCCTATCCATGCCCCTCATGATTTTATAAACCTCTATAAGGTCACACCCTCAGCCTCCGACTCTCCAGGGAAAATAGCCCCAGCCTATTCAGCCTCTCCCTGCAGCTCAAACGCTCCAACACGTACAATATCTCTATAAATGTTTTCTGAATCCTTTCAAGTTTCACAACATCCTTCCTATGGCCATATTGAATGGCGAAGCAGTCTCAAAGGGCCGAATGGCTTCCTCCTACCCTATTTTCTGTTTCTAAGGTTTATTTGTGTCTTCAGGAGAGGAAGAGAGAAAGAAGCATTGCTTAATATTTGGGAGATAGTAGGAACTGCAGATGCTGGAGAATCTGAGATAACAAGGTGTAGAGCTGGATGAACACAGCAGGCCAAGCAGCATCAGAGGAGCAGGAAGGCTGATGTTTCGGGCCTAGACCCTTCTTCAGAAGTCTTCTGAAGAAGGGTCTAGGCCTGAAACATCAGCTTTCCTGCTCCTATGATGCTGCTTGGCATACTGTGTTCATCCAGCTCTACACCTTGGTTTCTCACTTAATATTTGAGGCTTTCTTTTCATTTGACCTTGTAATTCATAAGGTAAAAGCTGACCATTCTCTCCCACAATCGTGGCCTGACAGTGTGTTTATAAACAGCAGACAATTTATAGGCCAGCAAGTAGATCAGAAGCCAGAATCCATTTGTTCAAACCCAGAGTTTCGTCATTAACCTCATCTGAGAGGAAGTTTCCTTCCTGTTTGAGAACTCTTGGAAAGAGCACAACAGGAAGGACTGACACATTGCACAGTCGATGAATTAAACAACTACTTTCGACAAAACCTCGCCTTCTTAGTTTCGGACCTTCGTTAAATCATCAGCATATTTTCACACAGTTTCCGTGGGAGCCAGTAACCAGTGATTGGAAATAAATCACCAATATACACCCGCCTGGGACAGGGAACACACAGGCTTAGATACAGAGTAAAGCTCCCTCTACACTGTCCCCATCAAACCCACCGAGGACAGGGACAGCACGGGGTTAGATACAGAGTAAAGCTCCCTCTACACTGTCCCCATCAAACCCACTGAGGACAGGGACAGCACGGGGTTAGATACAGAGTAAAGCTCCCCCTGCACTGTCCCCATCAAACACTCCCAGGACAGGGACAGCACATGGTTAGATACAGAGTAAAGCTCCCTCTACACTGTCCCCATCAAAGCTCCCTGCACAGGGACAGCACGGGGTTAGATACAGAGTAAAGCTCCCTCTACACTGTCCTCATCAAAAACTCCCAGCACAGGGTCAGCATGGGGTTAGATACAGAGTAAAGCTCCCTCTACACTGTCCCCATCAAACACTCCCAGCACAGGGACAGCACTGGGTTAGATACAGAGTAAAGCTCTTTCTACACTGTCCCCTTCAAACACTCCCAGGACAGGGACAGCACAGGGTTAGATACAGAGTAAAGCTCTCTCTACACTGTCCCCATCAAACACTCCCAGGACAGGGACAACACAGGGTTAGCTACAAAGTAAAGACTTCCTCTACACTGTCCCCATCAAACTCTCACAGGACAGGGACAGCACAGGGTTAGATACAGATTAAAGCTCTTTCTACACTGTCCCCATCAAACTCTCACAGGACAGGGACAGCACGGGGTTAGATACAGAGTAAAGCTCTCTCTACACTGTCCCCATCAAACACTCCCAGGACAGGGACAGCACGGGGTTAGATACAGAGTAAAGCTCCCTCTACACTGTCCCCATCAAACACTCCCAGGACAGGGACAGCACGGGCTTAGATACAGATTAAAGCTCCCTCTGCACAGTCCCATTAAATTCGATGCTCGATTGGGAAGAGATCACAGATCAAACTATCTAGAGGTGGTTTAATGTTTGGAACAGGCTAAGCAGAGGGACCTTTTGAGAGATGTACAGATTAACCCTGGGACATGTTGTACACAGGAAAAATTCTGGCCAGATTCAGTGGCAATGTTATTTGATTGGAGCTGCTTCCATTGTTTGCAGCTGACCAAGTGACTGGGTGATTTTGAGAATGACAGTGTGTGCAGGATGGTACTCAGTGTCGGAGGCTGTTTGATGTGGTGTCACCGGATGAAGGAGCAGCAAATCAAAGTACATCAGATTTCCAACTGCAGTTAACCTTAGCAAAGCTAAACTCCCAGACAAAGCTGCTGAGCAGACAGTTTGAGACAAACCACACAATCAGTCCTTAATTTGCCTGAACTTGTACAAATTCTCATCAGCTTCAACGTGCTGTGTCTTGACGCAGCTCTGATGCCAAAAGCAGCTTATCATTATCCAACATTAAGTAAGTTCTTCCATTGATGAGGGGTTTAAATTCTGTGTGTTGCTTGAAGAAGATGGGTATCTGCTCCTGACAGCATCCCTTGGAGGTGATCGAAATGACTAAAAACTTCAGACATATAAGTAGAGATGCAAGTTTAGATTGTCAACGTGTCAGCAAGAGAGCTAGGAATGGGATGAGGAGATACTTCTTCACTCAGAGAGTTGTTGGGATCCGGAAAGGGCTGCCTGGGAGAGTGGTGGAGGCAGGTTCCATAGGAGGTTTGTATAATTTTCCAGAAGCATAGTTTTAGATAATCTATAGTTCTAAGTAGAGTTTTAGAAATTTAACAGTTTAAGTATATTTTTAGCATTTTAATATTTATCCTTTTAGTCAATAAAGTTTGTTTTAATTGCACTGGTAGTGGTGGAAGGTAATGGGTGATAAAATTGTCACAAAAACACATCAGATGATATGTATAAGAGGTTATTAACTAACTGCACGGTTTTAACCAGCTCTAGTTCCATTTAGCTTCGCTTGGTGAGCGCATTTTTCCCATTGTGACCTTCCCCTTCTCTACTACATCTGGCTGTGATCAGCTTTATAGAGGTGTCTTTTTTGTCAACAAGTGATGGAACATCTCAGAATAGGCACCACATTGTAGATAGAGTGTTAAAATAGCCAGTACGGACACAGTGGGTCGAATGGCCTCCTTCTGTACTGTTTATGTCTATTATTCTAATACAGTCAATAACAGAGGTGCAGATTGGCTAAACTAAATGAGGATAAAAGCATTTTGCTCAAGTGGTTGAGATTTGTAATGCACTCCCCAATAAGGTGTTGGAAACAGAGTCAATGATACTGGTATAGTGGGAATATCACAGGATTTTATTATCCTATGCTAATTCTCCAGGGAAGTGGGCTCAAAACACATTGTGCTATTAGGTAGACGTTATACACAGTGCATTTAGCACATTGAAACAGGTTGAATAAATCACAGGTCACCTCCTACCTGTTTCTACCCATCGTTTCATGGTCTTTCACCACGATTTGGATCTCCGAACTTGCATCCAGTGGTGTTCCTTTCAAATCCCATTCAAAACCCTGTGTGAAAGGATTGACACAGAATAACACTGAGTTTAATGCAATTGCAACGTGAATCCCAAACAGAGGCAGCACACACAATTCGACACAGCTAAGCACTGGCATGAAACTACATTTCCATAGCACATATCACTGCATTCCAAAGTTCCTCTCAGCCAGTGAAGTACTCGTGTAGTCACTGCTGGAATGTAGGAGTGCAAAACATAATTTGCGAGATCCCACAAGCAGCGATATAGCTATCCAACAGTTTTTTTGTTCAGTAATGCGGTTGACAGATAAACATTGACCAGGACACTGCAAGCTCACCTTTCTTCCAAACAGCCACATTCAGATCTTGAATGTCATAGAATCATACCGTGCAAGAGGCCCTTCGGCCCACTGAGTGTGTACTACCAAAGCTACACTAAATCTACACCAGACCCACTTTGGATCAGGGCACAGAATGTACAAATTTATGAATTAAGAGCACAAATTAGCCATTCGGTCCTTCAAGCCTGCTCCCCCAGTCAAGAAGATCATGTGTAATCGGATTATTTCCACCAAGTCCTTACACCCTTCAGTTCACTTGTTAGTTTAGAATTCATCAATCCCTGTCTTAAAAGTATTCGATGGCCCTACCTCCAACACTTGCTGAGGAGGAGTATTCCACATAGGCAAGACACTCTGAAAGAAAATATTCTCCTCACCTCTGACTAAAAAGGTGACCCTTAATTTTCAACATCCTCCCGCAGTTCTAGTCTCTCCCACAAAGGGAAACATTCTCTCAGCATCCACCCTCAGGAACTTAAATGTTTCAATACAGTCACTTCTCATTCTTCTCAATGGGTACAGACTCAACCCTTCTCACTTTTCCACAGCAGATAAACCATCCATCCCAGAAATCAATCAATCAACAGCGTCTCTACCTCCTCAGGGGGCTAAGGAAATTTGGCATGTCCATAAAGACTCTGACCAATTTTTATAAATGCAGTGTAGGAAGCATTCTGTCTGGATGCAGCACAGTTTGGTACGGTAACTGCTCTGCCCAGGACCGTAAGAAACTACAGAGAGTTGTGAACACAGTCCAATCCATCATGCAAGCCAACCTTCCATCCATTGACTCCATCTATACTTCTCACTGTCTCAGAAAGGCAGCAAACATCATCAAAGACCCCTCTCACCCCAGTTATACTCTCTTTCAATCTCTTCTGTCAGGCAGAAGATACAAAAGTTTAAGCACACAGACCAACAGATTCAAGAACAGCTTCTTCCCCACTGTTATTAAACTTCTGAATGAACCTCTCAAATTTTAAATCTATTGTTGACCTCACTCTTTGTGCACCTTCTCTGCAGCAGTAACATTGCATTCCTTGCTCTGTTCTATTCCCTAATGTACTGTGTATGGTATGATCTGCCTGTACTGCACTCAAAACAAAACTTTTCACTGGACTTAGGTGCACGCGACAAAAATAAATCAAATCAAAGCAAATCAAAAAGTGAATTTTCTCTGCTTCAAAAACAATTATCTCCTTATAATCTAAAGAAATGATCTTGAGGTTGGACAAACCCGCCGTAGTATTTTTGAGGATATCACTTGCAGCATTGCTAAAGGACCATCAGTGGATGTGATGTATTTGGATTTTTCAGGAGGTTTTCAATAATGACCCACGCTGGAGGCTGGGAGACAAAATTAGAGGGCACTGGATGGGATAACATACTGGGATGGATTGAGGATTGGTTCACTGACAGAAAGTAGGAATAAATGGGTGACTCTCAGAATGATAATTAAGCAGACCAAAACTTTGCACAGTAGCCTAGATGTGGTCACCATAAGACCATAAGATACAGGAGCAGAGTTAGGCCATTTGGCCATTCGATCATGGATATGTTTCTCAACCCCTCCTCCTGCCATCTCCCTGTAATCCCTGATCCCCTAACTAATCAAGAACCTACCTATCTCCATTTTAAATGGACTTAACGTCTTAGCATCCACATCCCTCTGCAGGATGAGTTCCACAGATTCACCACCCTCTGGCTGAAGAAATTACTCCTCATCTGTTTTTTTCTATTCATTCTGTAGAATGTGGATGTCGCTGGCTGGGCCCAGCATTTCTTGCCCGTCCCTAGTTGCCCCTTCAGAAGGTGGTGGTGAGCTGCCGAATTGAACCCTGCAGTCCACCTGCTGTGGGTTAACCCACAATGCCATCTCAGTTCTAAAGGGCAGCCCCTTCACACTGAGGCTGTGCCCTTGGGTCCTAGTCTGTCCTACTAGTGGAAACATCTTCTCCACGTCCACTCTATCCAGCCCTCTCAGTATCCTGTAAGTTTCAATCACATCCCCCCTCAACATTATAAAATCTACAGACCCAGAGTCCTCCACCGCTGGGCCAGCATTTTGTCCATCCCAGAGGGCATTGTTGTGCACCTGGAGTCACCTATAGGCCAGGACAGAGATATTCGCATGAAAGCAAGATGGTGTATTACAATAGCAAGTGGCTGGAAGGTCAGGGTCATTCTCAAGACTGACAAAGTAGTATCCTCTACATTTAACCATTTGCTAAGTGTCTTTTGACATGGATTTTCTCTCGACACAGCACGCCTACTTTCTGCCATTAACACCTATTCTTCATCTGTATCACTTCTCTACAACAATTGGCAGTCCTTTTCCCTTTTGTTCTGCGCACTGTTTCACTTGCTCGTTCCCCCTCCCTTTTATTTTACAACATGAAACTTATCAATTTCTATGCCCCCTCAATTTTTAAGAGGAGTCGTATGGATTCCAAACATTAACGCGGTTTCTCTGTCCACTCAGAGAAGCGAAGGACTTAGCAGTGAAATAGACATTTACAGCTTTCTCACCTCATTCCAGACAGGGTTTAAATTGTTCTTAATAACCTTGGTCTTCTTCTTTACGCCTGAAATGGAAGATAAAAGTTCCTGTCAGTTAAAGTGCCAAAGAGGAAGAAGATGGATTTTATGAGGGAGTGAGTGGCATGTTCTCCTTTGAGCAAAACAGGTTAAGGGTGGGGTGGGACACCAGACAGGAATTTTAACTGAATGATAAGAGATTCCACTGGCGGGAAGGTCAATAACCTCAGTAAACTGATTTCCGATAGCTGATAAATGAGGTAGAGAGGAAGCAGGGAGATTTTTAGACACAGTGAGCTGTTGTGATCTAGCATGCAGTGTTTGAAAGGGCGGTGGAAGCAGATTTGAAAGGATTTGATATGATTGCAGGGCTCTGAGGTAAGAGTAGCATGCTGGGAATAACTGGACAGATGTTTATAAGCACCAGCACAGGCAGGATGGACTGAATCACTCGCATTGTTAATATTGGATGATGTATTATACAGAGTGTTCAACTATGAAATGATCATTACACCCATCGATTGCATTGTATTGTACAAGCTTCTCAGCTCCTCGCCACATTCACTCCATGTTGACCGTCTCTACTACTCCCTTCAAACTAAATCAGTTGCCATTTTAAATCTGACAAAGGAAGGGTAGTACTGTTCACAATCTCGATCCCTCCTCAATGCTAGAATGGCAATTTTGAAACCTGACCAGTCTTCAGCTGCTGATCATGGTTACCAGCCTAATCACTGCAGCTTCCCACAAAAACCAACAAGATAAAACACACAAATAATCCCAGAAAAAACGGAGCTTTCTTGCTGTTCACTATTGCCCACTCCCATCTCTATCCCAGTCCACTATTCTCCATTCCCTGCTCTATCCATGTCCACTATTCCCTATTCCCTTCTCTATCCCAGTTCACTGTTCCCCTTTGTATCCGTGTTCATTGTTCCCCATTCCCTTCTGTATCCCCCTCCAGCTTTTCCAATCCTCTCTGTATACCTGTCCACTATTCCCCATTCCCTTTCGTATCCTTCTCCACCCTTCCCC